CCCATACCTAGCCACCCCTGCACTATGTACAGCAATATCCAAGCCTAAAGGCTCCGCTAAGGCAGTGTTTTCGACCGTCGGCTTCTCCACAGTCCCACGAGTTCCTGAATTGCTATCGCCAGGTGTCTCTTCCGAGCGGATGTGCACAAATGGCTTCAACGACAGCAGGTAAGACTGCTCAAAGCGGAGGTCTGGCAGAGCGCGGATAGGGAGGGCACCTGGGCGCGCTTCGTGAACAGCTTCCCCCCGAGTCCTGGGCTGGGGCTTCCAACCGACATCTGGGAAGTGGGTCGGGTCAAGTGAAGTCATGGTCGACAGGCGTAGGAGGGAGATTAGATCGGGTGAATCATTTAGATAAGATAAGAATTTGCGCCTGCCATGTGCAAACTCGTAAAAGTTGCCTGGGACGGGATAAACTCTAACCTCCCGATCTCTGCCACCACCGCATCGGCTCTTAGATACCCCCAATACCTAACTTACTTCAATACTTATAGAATAAGTTTATAGACATGACCGTTGGAACCGTAGACAGCGGACTCGTCGCTGCAATGAAAGACATTGCGTTTGGAAGTGTGAGTGGAACAGCCATAACGCTGTCTGAAAGCTTACCACTACTCCACCTTCAAGGCTGCTGGGATAGTCTCGAAAGTATTCGAACACCCGTTCGACCTGTGCAAAGTTAGGCTGCAGTCGCAGGTTCTGGATGTGACTGCGCGATTCTCAGGACCTGTGGACTGTCTCTACAAAACATGGAAGTTTGAAGGAGTCCGGGGCTTATACCGAGTATCTATATACATTTTCTTGCTTGTGACTCGCCTGATTTTATCTGCAGGGCCTACCTATGCCAATCGTTGGTGCCATGGCCGAAAACGCAAGCCTCTTTCTTGCGTACAACAAAATCCAACAAGCCCTGCAGAAATATCCACACTTCAACACAGACCCTGGCCAGCGAATCCCGCTAGACGGCATCGCTATCGCGGGGGGAGGGGCCGGAACAGTCGCGAGTTTCTTGCTGTGAGTGTCACGCCGACCCGCCTCTTTGATCCCGAAACTGAAACGCCTCGCAGAACCCCAATCGAACTAATCAAATGTAAAATGCAGGTCCAAATGATCGCAGCAGAAGCCCACGTCGTGCCCATCCTTGCAACTACAGGCGCCACCTCCGTAACAGCTACTCTCCCCCTCCCTCGCGCCGGCCCATCCTTTAGCCAACTCCAAGGCCCTCTCTCCTTGATTATGTCTGTCATCCAAACACACGGCGTCCGCGGACTCTGGTTAGGCCACACTGGCACGCTCATCCGCGAAACAGGAGGATGTGCCGCGTGGTTTACGACCAAAGAGGCCGTGTGCCGGATCCTAGCGCCCGGAAATCGCGAGTTGGGATTGCACGAGTCGGCATTCGCAGGCGCATGTGCGGGCGTTGCGTACAACGTTACTTTGTTCCCTGCCGACAGCATAAAATCGGCAGTCCAGACAGAGGAAGAACTTAGGCCAAAACTACCTGGCCAACCTCGTCCCACATTCCTGGGTACAGCTCGTGCGATATGGGCAGCGCAGGGTATCAGGGGCTTTTATGCCGGGATGGGGGTTACGGTAGCCCGGGCAATACCTAGTAGTGCTATCATTTTTGTCGTTTATGACGGGTTATCGAAACGATTTGCGTAGGCTCATTGTTCGTGTATCCCGACGTTATGTAGATGTTGCCTGGCAGTTTAATGTGACACATAGATTTTGAAAAAAAAAATATCCCCCGAGGGTGGGGACTTAAATATGCACTGGCGGGCTTGTTTACAGATGTTTTACCCCAACCCTGATTGTGTGGCGGTCGCAGAGTGGCAATTAGTCAAGCGCCCCACCACCTCGCCAACCGCCTCGATACAGACATAATGTCTCACAATGAGGAACCGGCTACGAACCCAGGTAAGTAGGAAGGATCGCTACGAGGAGCATGATATTGAAGTAATCATCAATAATAATAAAAATACCCCTTGTCCTGTTGCCTTTGCCTGCAACTCGCAACAAGCCATGGCTAACTGATCCTCCAATAGGCCTTAAAAAGCATTCTATATTCTTTATCGAGGCCGAGATGGTGACGATACAGGTAAACCAGTTGCATATCTGTGGCGGGTACGGGTGGCTCAAACCCTTTCCAGGTTGAAGACACGCTATTCAACGTCCACAAACAACAACTTCAGCGTTCTGGAACGTTTAGGGATATGTTTACCCTGGGAAACCAAAATGGGCTCACACCCGAGGGCTTGTCAGTTGACAACCCTATCAAGTTGAACGGGGTCTCAGCATCGGAATTCGAGAGTTTCCTCGTAGCATTGTATTCTCAGTAAGCGGCCATTGTCCGTCGTTGCCCTGATTCTGAAACCATATACCAGCGAATGTTCAAAATGCGACAATCAGCCGTTTATGAGAAGAGTTCAAGCTATTGAACCGGATCGTATTCGATCTGCTCTTCGGCTTGCAGATATGTGGGATTTCACACACCACCGTGATTACCTACTCGAGGTGGCATTCAACACGTTTGACATCGTTGACCAAATCGTACTTGCGGAGCAATTCAACGTTCGCAACCGAGTTCAGCCGTTGTACCTAAATCTGTGCCAACGTCATGAACCCCTGACGCTGGAAGAGGCACGCAAACTAGGCCTCGAGGGAACGGCACTCGTTGGTCGCCTACGCGAACGACTTTGCAGGAGGATCCCACCACCAGTGGTTACCCAGAGGCAGGGTCACCCGCATGGTTGGGCCGCTGTTATCGCAGCACATGCGGCTCTGCAGAGGCTTGCTGGCCCCGAAGAACTAAACCCGCTCCCTTCTGGAGAAGCAGACACACAGTTTCTTAAAAAGGGAATTCAAGACTGGTTTAATTCAGGATTGTAGCTCCACATTCGGTGAATACTCGAATGCTCACAAGCCAATCCTAATACAAAATTAGTCATATACACTAGACATGATGTGTTGTGGGGTGTTTGATCAGTCGCCACTCTGCGGCCGCGTTCGCTCGCGCTCTCCCTTCCCCTCCGTCACACACTCTATCTGACGACTCTGTGCCAACGCTGCTTGCTTGTGTCTTAACTGGTCGTAATGCCAACTTTCGCGGGGTCCTTTGCGGTGCGTACCTTTTCTCGTTCCCGCGCCACATCTCAGTTAGGCTCAACCGCTCTCTCCTAGACACAGGACGATTGCAGAACATGGCTGCAACAATATGCACCCGAGGTCCTCGAGAGGAACCCTGAGGCTACCACCGGAGCTGTAGAGACGAAAGCCACAGCGTATATGAAAAGGAGGCGTATTCGTAAAATCTTCTATTGCTAGACCATACCGTGGCTAGTGACAGTAAGTCGCTCCACAGCGTGTATTGCTCGAATTAGATTGCTAACATCCTATGCTAGTCGGACCTGGACTATGCACGTTTTGGCATGATATTGGGTCGTCACTGGAGCAAGGACAAAAAGTACTTTGCGCCGGACCCGGTGCTTGACCCCTTGCTGAAGGAGGCGATAGAGAAGGAGTTTGGGTTAAAAGTGTCCGAGTGGGTGGTGATATGGTATGCTGATGATGACCCGGACCCGAACTCGAAGTTCGTGTTGCCTGGAGGCATTGAGGGGGCGTAAGGGGCATGTTACGTTTATACTTGATGACTGCGAAATAGCTGAAATGCGGTTTATATACGATATCCGTTGTACTAAACATACATACAAAAAACTACCACCGATACCTTGTCTGTTTCGACAGCATGACCGCCACATTCCACCCCCTCGTCAACGAACCGTGGCCTCCCCGCTTTGGTGAGGTTCGAAAGACGGACGAGCACTATTGCACCCTTGGCTTGTCCAGGCCCGGCAGCGCGGGGTTGTCGCCGTGCATAGGGGTGGCATCCCAGCGGCCGTGTTCCCAACTCGGGTGAATGACGTCGACTGAGGCCTGGAGCGAACGGCTTGGCAGATCGAGGCTGTTGTCCACGCCACAGAAGTGCTGCTCGTCAAAATGGGGTGCATGCCCAGGTGCGTCTTCTAAATTGATCGTATCAAATAATCTCGCCCCTCTCATAGTGTATAGCACCACGGCAGCGACCATTGGCCGGCGGAAGAGCCCGACACAGATGGTGATTCATCCCCGGCTTGGTGGGGGCCTAGTGGCCGAACGAGTCTCGGCATCGGAATTCGAGAGTTTCAGCATTATTGTATTCTCAGTAAGTGCCGCTGCCTGTCGTTGCCTATGGAAAGCCGGAGTGAATACTGCTCAAGGCCCGGTTAGGGATCATGTTGAAACTTTCAAATGGGCCACCCACTGCTCTGGGGCGTTACAAACAGAGTGCGCCACAGCCCCCTGAAAAGGAGAATGTCAAAGGAACCAGTATTTGTTTTGTGAACGTGTTGGTTGGGACGAGAGCGATGCTTTCAGCAATTTGTTCACTGCTTGAACTAGTCCTTATAATCGTTTATATACGTCATGCGCGCATTGTAACTGCATCTTCCCGTTCCTTGGAACTTTACTAGTGAGAACTTACAGAAGTCTTGTTAAAACAGCCCATTCAGGTGTGACAAATATATAAAACTGCTCTTGGCAAGATTGTCTTTGGATGTTTCCCGGTTGCATTTTCAGCACTTTCTAGCCCCGGGCTCCAATATGAGTATCCTTACCCCGTACAGAATTACTACAACTCTCGATTCATACGCATTTTTGCACCTTTCAGGTTCAGATTTTAGTGGTAACCTCCCAGGGGAAAAAACACGAGAACAGTGCTGTAATCGACCAAGTTGAACTATCGGCACCCGCGGCAAACTGTATATACTTACCTCTTGTACTTTTGCCAAGCAGGGTCATTTCCAAACTTCTTCTCTGCTGCTCTCTGCACAAGTAATTGTATTGTTAGCCCGTAGCGGGTATATGCCATCACGTGATTACCTTACCTCGAGCGGTTGGACTCCAGAGCCCTGCACAACGCAAAATGGGGTCAATTTTCGTTCAGCTGCAGGCCAAAAGCATGGACAAGTTGGGAATTGAACCCAAGACCTCTCGCAGCTGATTACGTAAGCTATCGCGGTTCAAATCTGGGCTTAAACTGCTAAGCGAGCGCGCTACCAACTGCGCTACATGCCCTCGTATTGTAGGGGGCTGTGTACTCACAACTCTCACATCATGGATGTATGCGTGCTAGTCCATAGCGAGACTTATGACAGCTCCGGGAGCATCAAGCCGTCATGCAACAATGCCTATTAATTGACATACGAGGCGTAGCATACAAAAGACGAACAATAAACGATAAAACGGGTGGTCAGGTTTTAGAGTATAAGGAGCGCGCAGCAATCGGAACGAAATCAGTGATACATCCTAATATACAATCAAACAGGAACTTTATTCGTTGTTATTATAATAGCACGGGTAAAGAATCTCTTGTCTCTCACCCGCAATCTCTGGCTCTGCTCCATCTACATTCTTCTTCCCAGACGCGCGAACCTGGTCCGCAGGATTCACAGGCCGAGGAGAACGTCCGCCGGGCACGATCGACTTGATGGTCGTCCCAAACCAACGCGAGAAGCGCCCGCTTGGAGGCGGTTTAGTCTTATTCCTGGCCCCTTCGGCTTCAGCAGCCATCACCCGGGCCAGTTCGCCCGTCATATCGCGAGAGCCCCATTCGATGGATGAGCGCGAGCGACGGAGAGGGCGTATTTCAGTGGCGTTGGGAGCGTTTAGCAAGGGAAGAGGGGGCACAGCGTCGTTTTCAAGATTGGTAGGTTGACGAACGCCGGCGTCGCTCTTTCGGCGGAGCACCTTGACAATTGACGATGAAGACTGGCGCCCCTTGCTCGAAGCTGGCCGCTCCAGCTTGCGAGGGACCGTGGGCGGGGGGGACTCGTCCGAGCTCGATGCTGCGCTAGACCCTCTGGAAAGCCCAGGCGTAGGAGGATCATGCGAGCTAGAAGCCGACAAGAACAACGGGCGGGCTGGGCTGTTGGCAGGCGGATCCTCGTTCCACGTGGCTTCATTCGGAGGAACGGGCAGCCCAACCCATCCCCACTCGACGCCCGGCGTCCAGCCCTCTGCCCGATCAAACTCGTCCGTCTCTTCCTCATCAAATCGGGTGACTCCGTCTACCGCTCGGCGATGAACCGCAAACCGAAGCGGGGTCGCCTTGGGCGCCAGCTTTCGCACAAACGCGCGGCGACGGTCCGAGTACCGCTTCGAGCGCTGGGTATGGTAAAAGTCAAGCAGCATCTCGGATAGTTCGGCGTGGCGATACGACACGAGGGGTCGTGTAAAGGTGGCATGGGTGCAAAGCTTGTTGGCCACGAGCACGTCCAAAAGCGACTCTTTGAGGTCAATTTCACGGATCGCACGAGTCCAGGGCGCAGACTTGTACTCGGTGATCGCACTCGCCCGCTCGCCGGCCAACGCACGGACATACGCCTTGGTGCACTCGACATAGCCGTCCGCCTCGCCCCCAGTCATCACCTCGTCGACAAATCCGACCTGGCAAGCCTCAGCGGCGCTGATCGGGAGCATCCCGCGCAGTACCTCGCGCGCCTTGGCCTCGCCCGCGCGCTCAAAGAACGAATACGTGTGGAACTCGGAGCCGTACAGCCCAACGCCTCGGTAGTGGGGATTAATCACCGCCGACTCGGCGCAGAGGACAATGTCTGCGGCAGTCGCGAGCGCAAAACCACCTGCGGCGACGTTGGAGCGCACTGCAGCAACCGTAACGATCCCGCGCTCGGCCAAGATAGGTCCAGGAAGAGGCTTGAACACGTTTGCGACCTTGGGGTGCTTGGCGAGGCGCTTGGCCACTTCGGAAGAGTCAGAAATGACAAGTTCGACGACATCGTTGATAGCGTTGATGTTCTTCCAGCTCTCCAGGGACGGGTCTTCGCTGCCTTCGATCGTGTTTAGCGCGATACCATTCGAGAAATAAGCGCCGCCCTACAGCCACTCAGTATATGCGCCTCGAAAGACCGTGAGACATACCATTAGTACCAGCACCTTGAGATCACCCCTATCAGGATGAATAGTCCACTGCAACGCGCGAAGCAGCTGTTCGCACTGATAGGTTGTGCATGCGCCATTGCTGCCGCCTATAAGTACACCACCCACAGGAAGAAATAAACACTCACTAGTAATCAAAATAAACATATGCAGCTTTTCCTCCATCTCTCAACTCTTCAAACTCGACCCACGTCTGCTGCCACGTCCCAGACCGCTTCTCCCACCCAAGCTCAATCTTGGCCTCCCGCTTACCCTGAACCTTGCCGCAAATACTCCACTCGCGCGCGCTCTGTAAAGCCGCCCCAAGCCCAGCACTCCTCAACCCATCCGTAGCCGGAAGCTTGGGATTCAACCCACCCGCAGCGCCCTTGACAAGCGGGATCCGAACGTGCGTGATCCACAAGCCGTACCCGCCCAATCGGCCGTGCTCGGCAGTCTTGACGAGCACCGCGCCGTCTCGCGTCGCAACGACCCTCCCGACGGGCACGTCGTCGCACCAATGCGGCAACCGGTTCTCCTCGACCCACGCGCCATACACAAACACGTTCCGGCCCTGGACGCCTTGTGGTGCCGAATCGCGCGGGTCGAGCCAGCGAACGAGCACACCAGGCTGGCTGTCCCCAGCGCGAATAACAGCTGCACACGCAGCGGCGCTGTGCACGCGAGGATCGCACGCCTGGGCGCGCTCGGCAGGGCGCAAGAGCGGTCGGGAGTGAGTCCCCAGGCCGAGGAACGGGGCCTTGAGCGTGACTGACAGCTTGGCGGCGTCTACGGGCGGCGTGAGGTCCACCGGGAACCGGGTATTCAATGGCTCCATGGTCTCCCCAAAAGTAGGAATAGACGGCAACTCGGACGTCGACTCGGGCACGCTCGAGAGTTCTTGGGTAGCGCGCTGAACGCTCGCCAACACGATCCGATCCAACGCAGCGAGCACGGCGACAAGCGCAGCCCGCGTTACCTCGCCGCGATACAGCGCAGCCTTGGTCACCGCCGGCAACGCAAACTGCTCCCATGCCCATACCGGACCCCGGTCAAACTCTTCCTCGGCCTGGAGAACAGTGACGGCCCAGTGGGAGCGCGATTTGGCGGGGAGAGGCTCGGCGGCAATGGCCGCGAGCGTTTCAGGGGCGCTCGCAGACGACCCGGCATCACCCATCAAAACCTAAAAGTGGCATTATGACGAGTGTAAAACGCAATCGCGAAGCACGTACCCAGTCGAGCGCGCTTGGCCCCGCGTCCCCAGGTGCTCCGGGGTGGACAATCAGAGTCAAGTGCTGGCAGGGCGTCAGCGACCGCGTGCAGACGAGCGCAATGCTCACCTTTTCGTGTACCTCTCGGGGCACTTTGCGGGTCAGGAACGGGCAGAGGACAACATCAGGTTTAGCAAGATCGCAGGCCTCGATCATTGCCTCGGGCGACGTCGCATATTCGACCGACAGCTGGTGGTCGTTGGTCGCATCCGAGAGGGCCGTAAAGACACGCTGGGAGAGCGAGTTGTGGGCGGTAACGAAAAAGAGAACCCGCATGGTAAAAGGTGGGGGGCCGAATTAACACCCTGGCATTATATAGCCCCCGGGCACAATTGAAAGCGCCCCTGTTCAACACCTTTCATATCACCTAATCTAGTATAGCGGCCGTTTAAAAATCTGACAGGACTTCAAACGATAACGACCAAAAGAATTCCATCCGGCATCGAGCGTCAGCCTGCCTGGCTTCTGCGCCCACCTTTATCCTCTGAAAACCGCAAGTGTTACGGATCAGCCTTGAACGCATAGAGCGTGTGCAGCTTGGCACTGATCCGCACCGACGGATGCTCGATGTCGTACACGGCCGCCCGAATCGTCTCAGTCGCCTCGGCCTCACTCAGTCCCCCCACCTGAAGCGACGAGCCCATATTCCGCCACACATTGGCCCACACGTTCTGCACCAACGCTCCCACCTCCCTCAGGCGTGGGTCCGGTGGCCAGGGTGCCGTAGGCACCAGGTTTGCCCGCGTTTGGACCCCGGTGAATCCTCGCGTGAGCCTGGGGTTCGGGCTCCGAACTACGCTCCCGTCAGATTCCGTGTCCGTGCCATCAGTGTCGTCCTCAAACTCGATCTCGCTCTCCTTCCAGAACGACGAATCGTGTGGCAGCCAGCGAGGAAGATCCCGCCACGCGTAAACGTTCACTCCCTGCTGGGCAAGCCCGCCACGTGCGAGTCGGATCGCGTGGCAGATCCCAGGCAGCGACCCCCACGCTGGTATGTCTGGAAATTCCGCGTCGTACGCTTCGAGCTCGTACTCGCAAAACAGCAAGAGCCCGCCGGGGCGGAGCACGCGATGCACCTCTTGGACCAGCAATTTGAAGTTTTTCGTCTGTATCAAACATTAAATCGGGATCAAAAGCCAATCAACACGCATTTACTCACGGGAACCACGGCGTGCCTAACGTGAACAACGTCAAACGAGTTGTCCGGCTCTGCAAATCCATTGTACAGGTCGTACACCTCGAATACGACGTTGGGGCGGGGCCGGTGCGCGGTAAGCGGGAGCGAATCCAGGCTCACAAAGTCGGCGTCGGGGAATTCCCGAGAGACTTCTTGTACCCTGTTGCAGTGTGCAGTCCAAGTCGACTCGGGAGCCTGAGTACGCACCAAGTACCCTCAAGCGTGACAAGATCCAGTACCCGCTTTCGACGGTGCAAACGAGGATCGGGAGCGAGGACCTCACCCATGGGCCCATAGTAGTTGCCTTCGAGCATCAGCTTCAACGACAAGTGCTGCTTTTGCAGTCGCAGAACCTCTGCATTGTCCGTAGGCATCAACAGCGGAACGTTGATATCCGCCGGGAACATTCGGCCGTAAATCTCGCGAAAATAACCTAAAAACGTAAAATAAAAATTACCAGCGTGGCTGAGCATACTCACTGTGGACTTCAGCAGACTCGAGCGTGCTCATGGTGCTGTTCGTGCCTCCAGACGAGGCCGTGTCCATATCCGAGCCGTCATAGTCGGTGATATCGTCGACAAGGTAGATGGGCGCGTCCTCGGTACTAAGGTCAATATGCGGCTCGGACATCTGGACAGTAGCGTACGCAAGCCAAGCCAAGGTCGTTTAAAAGCAGTCAAAGACGTAAAAAA